CGGGATCTTTATTTTTTTGGAGTGGTGGGGGGATCCACCGTAGGAAAAATTTCATTATTCTGACTGAAACTAATCCTCTGGTCGAAATGGCTTGATCTTATAAAATTTTCATATCCCAATGAATCATTTTTTCCACAATCCAAGTTGATTTTGCGTAGTGGCATACAATGGTAGCACAAAAGAAAAAAAAAAGGTTATTATAATGTGATTCACCTATGCTTCAGTTATCGTTCCGAAAGGTATTTCAGATTCTAACGTCAAGATCCACTGATCCATGAATCATGGTATCAGCAGGATTTGTTTATCACTAGGGAAATCTCAAGTGCAACACGAAAATTTGTTGCTCGGTTCTGTTGTTCCCATTGACGCATGACGACAATTAGCATATAGAAACACACATTGTTTTTTTTAATCATTTCACTCCAGGTAAGGAGATAATACCCCTAAGATGCAAGGGGATACTGAGATTGAAAGAAAATGAGAAGACGTTAATGAGGAGAAAGGAGGATAAAATAAGAGAATTCAGGACAATAGAACATTACGATGGACGTTGCATTTAATTTTTTGAATATTGTAGATGACAGGAAAGCACGAAATCAGAAGAGAGTGCCGGTTATTACTGTGGCACCATTTAACGAGACAGAAAAAGAAAAGAAAGAAAAGAAGAAAAGGAGAGGCTAAGGACGGAATCGTGGCTGATAAGCAGAACACACACACGGCTAAGAGGCAATGGATAAAGGGATATTTTGATAAGTAACAAATGGCGAAAGAGTGTCATTACAATGACAGGGAAATTCTGAGTAAAAAGAAAGGGAAAGAAAGAAAGAATCAGATATGTTTTGGCGACGGCTGTGTTATCTAAGGATATGAAAACAAACTATTGGTACGGGAAGGCATCTTATTATCAGACCGACTGGCCAAAGAAAAATTCAAATGAAAATGTTATTTCGATAAGTGACGAAAAACAGGCAACTAAAAGGACTTTGGACAGATATGAAAAAATTAATTGTATCAAAGCCATCTACTGACCGAATTCTTTCGACGGAACATCTTTATGCCTGTGATAATAAAATTATGTTATCAGAAATATGTACCGAAGGGGAATGAATGGGAATTTAGAAATGTCTTTTCGGGGCGACGTTGGCCGTGTTAAGAAGACCACCCATTCGGATAATTAGCGATAAAATACCTGACGAAAACCACGTGTAGAACAAGAGTTATGACCGCCATTGTTCATATTGTCCCGTTTGCGGCTAGAGAAATGATAACGGCGATTAAGAGGAAGAAAAGGAAAAGAAGGGATAATTTTTTAGTTAGGCAAGATATCTTTTTTCTCTGAAACAAAGCCGCGGATTCGTCCACGCCCGACTAAGACATCATTGGTCGAGTAGTGATCACGTGACGCACGAAGGAGGCTATCGCCAATATCCAGAGTGTAGGTATGAGAAGCTGCTACGAAGAAGTATGGTGAGAAGGTGGGAGTGAGGAAAGATTCCCCAAAATGGAAAAGAGTGGAAAATCCCTAATCAGAAATAAAGGAGGTGGATATGTATTTATAATTATCGAGGAACCCCCGACGCCGACAGACCCACCCCGGGTTTGGTCGGCGTCCATATAAGCGAAGCGCCAACGAGCAGAAATCAGTTCCAGTGAGTTCAGTCCCAGAAAAGTTTGAGTTGAGTCTCCATTTGAAGCCGCCTCACAGATAGTTGACCAAGATTCACGCAAATTCCGGACTCCTCTTCAACCCAAGAACAATTATTTTGAAGAGCGACTTAGATCCAGACCACCACAATAAGTTTTTTTTCGACTTTCGTCCAAAGACACACCGAAACACCAATTTCTTAGAGAGCAAACAACTTGAAGCGTTAAAACTTCCCTAGCGGAAAACGACGTGTCACAATCCATAGAACGGGTCGGGAGATAGATGCAGTCCTATGTATCGAACAACTAGACATAAAGTTTGTTACTTTTTCTTTGATACTTTGAACTTTTGAGTTTTCATTTTATTTTCTTTTATGCATATTTGTGTGGTATCACCTCCGTTGAACTCGGTTTGCATTACGGCCCCAACCACTGTTTGATCTCGCCTGCCTAAGATCAATTCACAACGTGGGCAGGCGGACTGGGGATCAATGCAGTTACCTTGGTAACCAGGCGTTGGAAGCGAGTTGGGAACGACGAGGCTGATATCAAATCTAACCAGATCCCACCCGAATCACCAAAAGGTTAGAACGTCACATTTAGGTGCCGCGACCGATACCAAGCCAGTTGGTCGTCACAAGACGAGACAACACGACTGACGCGACAGGCGGACGTCACGTTTGGAGCAGCGACACCCGAACGGAGCAGCGAGGAGCGAACAGATGGCGCCGCGGCGAGGACGTCACAATTGGTGCTGTTTAGGGACGTCACAGTTGGTGCCGTGGTAGACCAGAATAGAACGTCACAGTTGGCGCTGCGACCAGGGGACGACGTCACATTACTGACCCTCGGCCCTACTACTTCGCACGCGATTATCACGGGGTTCTGGCTGTTTCAACCAAAATCATGTGAATTCCAAAGTTGTGCCATAGATGAGAAGTCTAAGAAAAGAAACTACCAGGGTAGAATTTCAACCATAAAACAATGAAGTCTAGTTGCAAATCTAGTAGTACGCTTAAATTCATACGGTCTATTTACCAAGCTGGTAAATTGCTGGTGGTGCCAGATACACCCTGACACAGGATGATAGCACCTATTAGGGTCCCAATTATGGACAAATAGTTAACCCCCAAACTGGGGTCAATACACTATGAAAGTGTAAAAATAGGCCTTAATATAAAAAAAAAATTTTGAAAGAAAAATTATTACCAGCAATACCTTTTTGAAGAAAATAAATATTACCAGCAATTTACCAGCAATACATTTTTAAAGAAAATAAATATTACCAGCAATACATGTTTGATAAAACAAAACAATATTACCAGCAATACATTTCTGAAAACAATTACGAGTAATACATTTTTGAAAAAAATATTAACAACAATAAAAATCTTGTCGGCATTAAATAACCCATTGAGGTTGATATGCCGTAAAACAAAACAAAGCAAACCAAACAATTTACCAAGGGGGAAAGCTTATTAGAACAATTGCCATGAAAATATTTGTAGAAAAGACACATGGAAGCTGTTACGGCGATGGAAAAGTAACCAATTAGACTATAATCATGTGTTCTCCTAATAAATTAGAACAACAATTACAATTTATTATTTAGATATTTTGTGATCTTGACCATCCTTTGGACATTGTACAACCAAGCGTTACTCCGAAGATTGGATAATTCCGAAGGTCCAAACATTTTGTCCCTGAAAAGTGTCATATCTATTAATGATTGCGCTGGATTGATGAAACTGGCGCTATTTTTACTAAGCTAATGTCGTCCAATATTTCGCAATGTTCTGATAATCAACAAGTGAATCTTTTCGTCTCGGCCGGTGTTGAAATCTGTTTGTAGGACAAGCTGCCTATCTTCAAAACAAGTTATCTTATTTATTCTTATAAATATTTGTGTGATGTTGACTATATATACAGGATAACTCAAATTTTGAGGGGAGAATTTCCCTGCATGTTCCGACATTTATCAAGAGAGGTCAGCTGACTTGTAATTTACATAAGTTTGTTGCATTTGGATCAGAAGTTGCAAAGCACCTGATACTTAACCATAAATGTGTCACACCGTACCGGGAGAATACGTTCTCTGTTTTGTGCAGATCGCACACCCAATTTCAGCTTAAATTACTTGAAACAATTTTTGTTAAGTCTAGACAGTGTAAAAAGAAGGAATGGCTGCTTGGCCTTAATGTCATCTGTACTTAAATATATTATTGTCAGTATAATACTAATGTGTGTATTTTGTTTTCTTTTTAATTGATACGTATACTTATTTTATTATTCTCGATCAAGGTTTTAATAGGAGAGAATCAAAAATGATTTACTCATTTTTTTCTTTTTTATATGTCTTGTGAGGTTGTCTTTTTTCAAAATAGCCGAGAATGAGGAAGGCAGTAGTTAGAGAGACTATAGAAGGAACAGAAGACTAGGAAGAGAAAATAAAGAAGAAGAGGTTTATTAAATACTCATACACAGAACGGAAAAAAAATTGAGTAAATCAAATACTACTCAAATCCTACTCTAATTTGGCCACTTGCCATATTTATAAGTAGTAGCAGTTCATTGTCACATTAGTAGGGAATAGTAGGAAGTCCTACTTTACAAAAATGTGCTTACTTTTTCTCTTACTTTTTAATATCATATTTTAAATATGTCCGTTTTCCGCGCCATAATTAAATTCTCTACCGATAAATGAATCTATAATGAATTCTGTTTATATGTAAATGAGTGCAGAATACACTTGGGAATGTTTGAATATCTGGACCGACAAATTAATCAAAACAAGAAAAATGGGGATATTAATTAAAGCAATTCATGGAATAATGGCAATATTTAATCTCAGAAGAATGTACTAAATCTTACGATATGAGGAAAAGTACAGACTGCTGCGATAAAAAAATAAGGATATTAACCCGAAGTATAGCAAGAACTTAAGTTATCTCACGAACGAGGTGCTTAGCATTGGTTTTATCGTAACAAATATCAACTTTGATATTCGCCCGTATATCTAGAGAGGCCATTAACCATTAAACGGTAAACATCATCAGTTTATATTTCATTAGAGTTCAGTGGATTTCATCAACTCATGATTTAAACATTTTCCAACGATACGAGCATCATTTATGAATCACGTCTAAATAACTATCGTATTTCTACTGCATTTCCCACTTATAAAACATCACCAAAAACCACCCTGCGTTGAAGTTCGGTGACGGGGGTTATTAGTTTGGGGTGGCGGATGAGCGTCAGTTACTCCCCAGTTACACCCGATTTTGTGTCATTAAAACAGAGTAAAACAAGTCCGTTGCTTCAAAATTAAATTAACAACGTTTTGGAATAAGCTATTTATGCAGTTGGAATATTGGAATATTGGGATATTGATAGGAAACGAAATTCCTGCTACAGTAACCCCTGTTTAAATAACATCTTCCTTCCTTCCTTTCCTTCCTTCCTTCCTTCCTTACGACCTTCTTCCTTCCTTTCCACCCTTCCTTTCTTCCGGCCTTCCTTCCCTTTTTTCCTTCCTTCCCTCCCTCACTCCATTCTTCCTCCCTTCTTTCCCTTCCCTTCTTTTCCATCCTTCTTTTCTTACGGCCTTCCTTCTTTCCCTTCCTTCATTCTTTAATTCCTTCCTTACGACCTTCCTTCCTTCCTTTCCACCCTTCCTTTCTTACGGCCTTCCTTCACTTCCTTCATTTATTCATTCATTCATTCCTTCCTTCCTTCCTTCCTTCCTTTCCACCCTTCCTTTCTTACGGCCTTCCTTCACTTCCTTCCTTCCTTCCTTCCTTCCCTCCCTCCCTCCCTACCTTCTTTCTTCCTTCCTTCTTTCCCTATCTTTCTTCCCTTCCCATCCATCCTTCTTTTCTTACGGCCTTCCTTCTTTCCCTTCCTTCATTCTTTAATTCCTTCCTTACAGCCTTCTTCCTTTCTTTCCACCCTTCATTTCTTACGGCCTTTCCTTCCTTCCTTCATCCTTTTCCTTCCTTCATTCCTTCATTCCTTCCTTACGGACTTCCTTCAGTACAGCCTTCTTCTTTTCTTTCCATCTTTCCTTTCTTACGGCCTTTCCTTCCTTCCTTCATATATTCATTCCTTCCTTCCTTCCTTCCTTCCTTCCTTCCTTCCTTCCTTCCTTACGACCTCTTCCTTCCTTTCCACCCTTCCTTTCTTACGGCCTTCCTTCACTTCCTTCCTTCCTTCCCTCCCTACCTCCCTCCTTTCTTCCTTCCTTCTTTCCCTGCCTTTCTTCCCTTCCCATCCATCCTTCTTTTCTTACGGCCTTCCTTCCCTTTCTTCCTTCCTTCCTTACGACCTTCCTTCCTTACGACCTTTTTCCTTCCTTTCCATCCTTCCTTTCTTACGGCCTTTCCTTCCTTCCTTTCTTTCTTCCTTCCTTCCTTCCTTCCTTCCTTCATTCATTCATTCATTCATTCATCCTTTTCCTGCCTTCCTTCCTTACGGCTTTCTTCTTTTCTTTCCATCCTTCCTTTCTTTCCATCCTTCCTTCCTTACGGCCTTTCTTTCGTTCCTTAGTTCCTTCTTTCCTTCGTTCGTTCGTTCGTTCCTTCATTCATTCACTTCTTTCTTTCCTTCCTTCTTTCCATCCTTCTGAAATACGAGTCACAAAACAGTACCATTTATGGAAGCCATTTTAAGAATAATACTTTTGTATAATACGCTTTCTTTAGCCCTATGACGTACAAGAAAAAAAATTCCGATTTATTCCATCAAAATTTAAGGGTGCGTCTAATGCATGCGAGTGTCTTATAAGAAGCGAAATACGGTAACTGATAACTCTAGGATTCATTAGTTTTCGTCATATTCTGTAGTATTTGCCTGCAATAAATTTGGAAGCACAAGGCAAAGATATTCCTATATCTGAAAGCATATTTCTGGAAGAGAAAGTGGCAACAAATGTTAACAACTTGGAGCAACAAATTCACAATTTTCTTGTGCATAATACCAGATTCTGTAAGCTTCGATGTGCGGGTGTTGTAATAGATAACGACTCGGGTTTGTTAATCGGAGAGCCGAGTTCCAATTCCAGTAGGGTTTCTTACATTCCCTTACGAGCCAATAACCTTGGCAAAGGCACGAATCCACCATTTCTCCCCTCAGCTCTGAGTTAATTACTAAAACTTGTATCACTAAATCATTACTATCTCAAAAAAAGTTCTTGCAATGTAAAAATATTTTCTGGCTTTAAATAACCTGCAAAGTGTTGATAAGCTATAAAAAACAAATCAGGAAATCAATCTATTGTGCATGGAATACTTCAAGGGGTATCATGGAAAAGTATTAAACATTTGTCTATATTTCTGAGATGAGGTAATGTAACTACACTATTTACATCGTTCGGACGGTTGTCCTCGTCTTTATTGCCATATTCACGACGTTTCTACCGTTATACGTTCCGACCTTCTTCAGATGATATACGTTGGAATTCGAACAGAACCCTTTATTTAGTCCGCGTGGCGTGTGAAATTAGAACAATCACCCCCGTGAATTAAATAAAGGGGTTCGGCTTGAAATTCCAACGTTTAGCATCTGAAGAAGGTTGAAGCGTACAACGGCCGAATCATCGCGTTGGGAACAATCCGAATGATGTATATAGTGTAATTAGCAGAATTTGTTTGATCGTGTTTTTTTTTTTCTTTATTTTTATAATCTAAATAAGTTCAAATATCATTTTTATACTTTTGTATATTATTAAAGTGAAAATAAGAGTAAAACCTATCTTTAAAAAGAAAAAAGAAAAAACCCCTCCTTTTTACCGTTCTGGCGGACACGTTCGTAAAACCTTTGCCTACCGTTTAAGGGCTAAAAAATCAACTGACTCTAGTTTACGAGATTGGTTCGTACAATAACCGGAGTTCTTTGGCTGAGTGCCAGAAGATTTCAAAGACTAAATCGTATAACTAAACTTACCAGATACAACGCTCCAACCACTGGGCAATTAACAGAATTTTCATAGTCTATTAAACGCATTGCAACTGAAGGTGTTTTTTTTCCCTCCGTTTCCGTTGCTATTCTTTCGTCGACCGTTGCTATGTTTTTCCTGTTATTGATTTTTTTTTTTCCTTTTGTGGCTTTTGTCTACTACAATTTTCGTTATGGTTTGTTGGTGTTGTTTGAGTCGTCAAGCAACATTTGACTTAACGCAAATGCAACTACCGTAAAACAGTTAGATCTCTTCCCTTGAACGTCAGGGTTAGCATTCTGGGCGCTAACAGTGTATAGTTTTATGATGGACAACTCGCTCTAAAACAGCATTAATGTGTCCGCTTAATGTGCATGCAAGTGGACATAAGTATTCATATATATATATATATATATATATATATATATATACTGGGTGTAACGGCAAAATTGTCCAAATCGGGTAACAGGAAAATTGTCCAATTGTTACATTAAGCTCTGAAACGTTGTATCTTAGAAATGATTAAAGATATCTTACTGGAATTCTCCGAAGTTTTTATAACACTATTGGGCTCTCCTTTGAACAATAAGAATATATTTAGTTATAAATTGAAATGATGATCGCTCTTGCTGTTCTTATATGAGCTTTGAAGATAGAAGCCAGAGTACGAATCTTGGTACCATTACTGAGGGCCTGAATTATCTTTTTCCTCTCACCATTGTTCAGTTGGGAAGCCATAGTAGGGCTGACACAAAATAATTTTAACCTGTTCTCTTTAAAGCGGAATAACTCAAAGGATTTTTCAGTGATTCTTACAACAAATGGTGTCAAGATGGCTAAACGTCTTATCTGAAGACCTTGTTCTTTCTTATTACATCAATACACACACACACACACACATACATATATATGTTTCATTAAAGACGACAGACAAGGTACTGCGATTAAGCTTTTTATTTAATTTGGCATGTCTTCGAACAAGTGTTATTATTTTCTACTTTTTAATTGGGTGTATGTGTTGCGTGCATGTTTCTAGAGTTATAGGGATTTTTATTTTCCGAACACACCCAATTAAAAAGTAAAACTAAAATCATCCTTGACAATGACTAAAAGTATAGCCGAAAGTGCTCAGAATTACAGAACATTTGGACAGTTTCTATACACTCGGTGTCCAGAAAAGTAAACACTTGTTCGAACACAAGAAAAATTAAATAAAAGGTTAATCGCAGTACCTTGTCTGTTGTCTTTAATGAAACATGTATAAATGAAGGACTGCTGCTAAATACACTACATATATATATATATATATATATATATATATATATATATATATATATGGAAGAAGAAGAAGATTATTAGCTTCAGGGAAAACCTACAGAGATCAAGAAGAATGGTAATAGTTAAAAATTGATTATAACAACAAAAAACAAAAGATGTGAAGTTGTGGAGACCCATGTTCGCCCACATCCTGAACATGGAACTTATAAGAAGTTTTCACACGAGTACCAATCATCGGTATTCAAAGTAAGGTAAAACTAAAGTTTCAAATACTGATTTTCGTCGCAGGGATAATCTTCCTCTAATGAAGCTATACAGCAACAGAAACCCTTTTACCCTCATTTGAGTCCGTAACACTTCAAAATCTGTTCCAATGAATGAAATCAATTCGTGTCCTCGTAAGACCATTTCTTGCACTCAAACCTTAATTTTTCACACATTTTAAATATCATCTCTTCATCACTGATGACATCTCAAATGGCTTTTAAGACCTGCAAGAGTCATGCAGTTCTTCCAACATTGCTGATCTATCAGTCCTTCCGCTGCAACTTGCCTCTCTGGCTGATGGCTGTGGAAATGTCGTTTCAATCCGATACACCTTATGTTAGATTGTACATGTATGAACATCAGGACTGTCATATTGGCAGTTGACATCACGATCATTCTGCATCTAAGAAGACCTGCGTTTGCAAAGCAAATGCAGTCACATTGATCAAAGGTAAGAGACTCCTTCGATAGGCATTCTGGGAAAGGATTAACGCCTCTCATCTATCTGCCTGCACGTTTTTGTTGTGCATATTCTATCCTGCAGTTCTGAAAATTCTTGACACCAGTAGCAATCTAGTTTTTCCATCAGTAGCTGTCTATACTTCTGAGATGAGGTATTATGTACATTATTTACATTATTCGGACTATTGTCCTAATCTTTGTCGCCATATCTATTACAATGTTTCAGCCGTTGTACGCTCCGGCCTTCTTCAGGTGGTTGGAATGTCGAACTTAACCCTTTATTTCGCTCACTACTAGTGAACTATTAGTTTGGTGCAAAAATAATGACGTAATAATGTCGTTTTTGACGTTAAAAAATACGTCAAAAACGACATTATTACGTCATTATTTTTGCACCAACCTAATAGAACTAGAACAGTCTACCCTAGTGATCTTCAGCCTGTTTCCACCTAGCTAAACATAGTAAATATTCAGAATAAAAACAAAAGAAACGAAAAATCACTAGAAACAAAGAGTTCTGAATTCCTCTGTAATATCAATTGTATGAAAAACAGAGGTGCAAATAAAAATCGATATTTATATATAAACAAATTATTTTTTGAATTCGTCCACCCCTTTTTGGTATTTAATATCAAAACATCCTTTATGATAGTGACTGCTAGACAATCTTCACACATACGAAAAGGAGACTTGAGGTAACAGAGACGTGATTCTACAGAAGGATGCTGAGAATAACATAAATGAAATATGTAAACAACGAGCAGGTGCTGATGAGAAAAATGAGAGAAAAAAAAAGAATACTTGCACTTAGAAACGGTTGAAATATTTGGGACGTAATGAGGAAAGACGGATTTGAGATTTTGACACTCACATGACATACTGAAATCAAGCGGGCCTCGGAAAAACTGCAAGTAACTTACTTCACGGGCTTTGTGTAAATGGATGGCGGAACAAAGACTGGGAGAGATAGCAAGTAGAAAAAAAGAACATTTCTTAGAGCTACAATAGATAGGAAGTTGTGGATAGCCATGATCGCACACGCTCTGAAGGTACACGGCACATAAAAGAAGAACAGAGTTCAAGTATATAAATGTACACAGTTTCGAAATAGCAATTTTCCTATCCGCGCGCACACACACACACACACACACACAAAGCCCCCCAAAATGCAATAACTTAGCGAGAGGAACCTTGATTTTATGCTTTTCTTTTGTGTACTACATGTGTCTATGAAATTTAAACCATGTAATCTTCCAACGAATGCATAACTTCAATATTTTCACTCGAAGGAAAATTAGAAACTTTACATAAGTAAATTTCTACGTAAGCTTGTAACATGACTAGATCCGTTGGTAATATGGTCGCGTATGTCACAGTAAATTGCTTTTGGCAAGAGAGGTTAGGAAAAGTTGATACAACAGAAATGTATTTCTACAGAAGGATGCTGAAAATACTTTGAACCAAACATGTGAGGAACGACAAAGTTTTAGAGAAAATGGAAACAAAAAGGCCATCTATATTTGACATCAGGAAGAGACAGCTGAAATTTCTAGTGTACATAATGAAGAAAGAGGGCTTGGAAAATTTTACTCACAGAACATTTTGAAAGCAATTTTGTAAGAGAAAAAAGGAACACATAATATACATACCGAGTCTGAGTAGATGGAAGGCGGAAAAGGTTTAGGAGAGATAACAAAAATTAAGAAAAAGCTGAAAAGGACAGGAGATTCTAGAGAGCCATAACCTTCAACGTTCTGAAACGGCACATGACATAGAAGAAATATATATATATATATATATATATATATATATATATATATATATATATATATATATGTGTGTGTGTGTGTGTGTGTGTGTGTGTTATATGTATAACATATATGTTATATATATAAATTATATATATATAAGTTATATATATATAATATAGAATTTATATATATATACTACATATAAGTTTATATATATATAAAAGATAGAAGTTATATATATATATAAAAGATAGAAGTTATATATATATATATATATAAAAGATAGAAATTATATATATATATATATATATAAATGATAGAAATTATATATATATATAAATGATAGAAATATATATATATATATATATATATATATATGTGTGTGTGTGTGTGTGTGTGTGTGTGTGTGTGTGTGGTGTCTGTTCTTAAAGTAAGGATCTGTTTTATGCCCCTTGTATAATGGACCATTTTCATTTATAATGTATAGAATTTATATATATATATATATATATATATATATATATATATATATATATATATATATATATATATATATATATATATAATATATATATTTATATATATAAAATATAGAAGTTATATATATATATATATATATATATATATATATATATATATATATATATATATATATATATATATATATAGAAAATATATATAATATATACATATATATATATATATATATATATATATATATATATATATATATATATGGTGTCTGCTCTTAAAGCAAGGATCTGTTTTTATGGCCGCTTGTATAATGTACCTTTTTCATTAGGTTTTATTGATATTTCATTGGTCGAAGTAGAATGAGTTATAGAATTCATAGACCAATGAGTGTACGATGAAACGCCTTCCCTCCAACACTTACACAAATTAATGGCTGTCTACGTGACTGTTCAGTTTTCTAAGTACGCATGTCAAACCATGATAAGCCCTTCTCTGGACGCTGCTGGTGCTTGACTGGTTTAAGCAAAAATGATTTTTGAAAAGTGAACGCACATCGTCTGCCGAACTAGGCAGCCATCCTGGTGATCTCTGTCGATGAGAATCTCGTTCAATGACATCTTTGTGTCACATATACGAGACTTCATCTGTGTTACATATCTAATTAATAGTTAATGTTTACTAGAAATAGCCGTGAAAATTTGAGTTTTCCTATTTGATTTGTTGAGGAATCCTAATTCTTAACTTAATGATTGGATAAGTGCCTTGCAACTTCAGCAACTATAAGATATCCAGATAAGTGATCCTATTGCGTCTTTAAATAGTTTATCTTAACGAATTTAACAAAATATTTCAATAACAACCGTAAATATGAATGCAGTTCATTATTTGAAGAAGAGGGTACAAAGGAAAGGATTTAAAATTGACAAAAATTTCCATTTCATTGAAGCAGACTTTAAACACACCAGAGTGTTATCGCCTCTTCTAATTTCTATTTCTTTCTTTCTTTCTTTCTTTCTTTCTTTCTTTCTTTCTTTCTTTTCCCTATCTTTCCCTTAACCCTAGAACACTAACCATCAATTAAAGTTACACCACTACTAACAATGAGTATATCATACCCAAAATAAAATATTAAATATAAATCTTTAATTGAAATATTTTACATGCAGACACTTCAAACTTTGTCCTTTGAGTTAACATTAATAGGAACTGAAAAACATATTATCTAGGTAAGAAAATCAGGTACTGAAAATTGTAATTAAAAATAGGAAAATTTGCACTGGGTACTATGGGTACCCATTGTTAGTGTTCTAGGGTTAAACCAAACAGCGCCTTTGATATAACTTTTCTTCCTTACAGCGACATTACATTGAAAAGCCGGTTTCCGTACGATCACCGAAGTTAAGCGGCGTCATACCTGGTCAATACCTAGATGGGTGACCGCTTGTGAATACCAGCGGCTGTAAGTTTGGATGTGCGGGTGGTGTAATGGATAATAATTCCATTTTGCTAATTGGAGAGTCGAGTCGAGTTCATTATATTTACTTACGCGAATACCCGGGGGAAAGATATAAATCTACCTTTTGTTCCCCAGCTATGGATTAATTAGTATTAGTAGTATCACTAAACAATTATTATCTAAAAAATTAACAATCTAAAAATATTTTCTGGTTTTAAATAATCTGTAAACTGTTGATAAGCCGAATCAATCAATCAGGGAAGGAAAAAAACTTATATAGGTATTGTAATACTAAATTTATTCAGACATCACGAGATTAATACACTTTACTTTTACACTCTAAAATCACAAGATATGTTCAAAATGGTGGCTTTTAGTCGCCGGATATTTATTATTACGGTGAACTACTGCTTGGGCAACAAGTCCAGTGGGATTGCTATACATGCATTTTCAATTTTTTGTCTTAGGGCTGCCAATGTAGTTGATTTACCTGCAATACACAGCATCGTTTAGGGTCTTCCATAGGTAAAAGTCTGCAGTTGTTAAATCAGGAGAACGTGTTGGGAACTCAACTGCACCTCTTTTTTATTAGCCAGTGTTCTTTGCAAATTCTCATTCAGATAAGCTCACACATCTTGTTGGTAGTGTTGCGATGTGCCATCTTGTTGAAAGAAAGATTCATCATTTCCATAAAGTTCATCTATGACAGTGTTATAGCAATTTGATAAAACTACGAAAGACAAGTCTTTTCTTCTCGGAAGTATGTCTGCATTTTTCGCGGACTCTGTATATATATATATATATATATATATATATAATTTATAAATTCATGAATCATTCATACAAAAAACAAATATAGAGGTTAATGATTTAAATGGCGAGAATACATTTTCGCAAACAATATAAATAAGATACATCAACCCGGAACTTGTATATGAATGATATGATCCCTGTTCATAAATTCCAGTTGCATAAGGCCTTTTAATTTTTACAAGCTTTCGTCTGTTCCTACAGACATCAACGGGTATGGAAATAGATTTTGTTCTTGTTTTTACTTCTCGGTAATAAGAGGAAACGAAAATAGAGATGTAATCCGAAAAAATGCTATGAGAAATGTGTTATTGTTTTGGAACGTGCGGTCGCAACGCTGAGTTTGAATTTAAATTTTAAGGTTGTGCGTTTTTGTACAAAAGAGAATTCTATTTTACTGGTAGATTTTCCGTCTATGTGGCATGAACTATATTGTTCAATAATTACAGTAATGTCACACTTATTATCCGAAAGTTGCACGTTGGATCAGTTATTTTAATTTCAATTAAAGGTGCAAATTATAATTTATAAATTCATGAATCATTCATACAAAAAAAACATATATATATATATATCATTAATGTGGAGAAACTTATCACTTGAGCGATGTTGGTTCAGTCATGCCAACTTAGAACATTTGTAAGCGCATTAGAGATATAGTATCACAATGTGGGATATTTAATAATACAAGTGACAAAGACAAAAACCAACATAAAGTAAACAAAATATCATAATTTCAGCGTCTTCCATCTTCTGGTGAGTCTGTAGTTGCATCAATGTAAACGTCACTTTAGTCCGATGAAGTCCTAATTGTCGAAACGCGTCAAACGAAGAAAATTTTCCGCGTTGTCATCGATTTTCCTATATATAAATTCCTCCATCTCCATCTCTCTCTCTCTCTCTCTCTCTCTCTCTCTCTCTCTCTCTACATATATATATATATATATATATATATATATATATATATATATATGGCTGATGGGAAATTCCGTCATTCCATGTCTATGACTCAACTGCGAATGACGGAAATATTTGCCGTAGTTCATAGGTCCTTTGTATATTTATTAAAATGGATAGATATTCTATGTCTATTAAATTTATCCATCGACTTTTTAAAACAGAGAATAGCTTTCCGTAAACCTGGATGATGCAAAATATATCCGAAATCGAGAGTGTTTAAGCTTTCGACTCACATGGGTCATCTTCAGGAGTATGAATGAAAAAAATGCACTAAATCTGAATCTACATTTTCTCTCTCTCTCTCTCTCTCTCTCTCTCTATATATATATATATATATATATATATATATATATATATATATATATAATATGTTAAAAGTTTGTTTGTTTTTTTTTTTTTTTTTATAATAGAAATTTTTTCACGTGAATTCCAGCCGCGCCCAACATGCGAAGGCTCGGAATAAACAATGGCAAAAACAAAAACATTTCTATTCAAAACAACACAAAAATAAAATACAAATTAAACAATCACAACACGACGAAAAAACTAAGAACAGCAACCCCCACCCCTGAAAAAATGGCTAAAGAAGTGGCCGAAAGCGCTTGGGTCAATGAAAAGGTATGGGAAATTTTGTACTCGCTTACTCCTACAAAACTACTAGAAAAAACTAAATAAAAGATTAATTAAATCTTCCTTGTCTGCCATATTTAATTAAAGATATTTAAAAGAAAGAATATGTATGTGTGTGTTTGTGTATGTGCGTGTATGAGAGAGAGAATGAGTTTGTAAGTTTTACTGTCAGCAGATAATCGTGCACACTCTCACGCACATGCTCATAAACATACATATATATATATATATATATATATATATATATATATATATATATATATATATATATATATATATATAAAATATATATATATATATATATATATATATATATATATATATATATATATATATATATTATTATATCTGCATTTTAGTCTGCATTTATTCTTACTTAATCAATTTTACTTAGTCTGGCACAAGGTCATAGTAGGAAGTACTCTGAGACTTAACTGCATTGATCAACTTATCTTCTCACCACTGCATATATATATATATATATATATATATACATGTGTGTGTGTGTGTGTGTGTGTATGTGTGTGCGCGCCTACTGAACAGAGTTGTTGGGTAATAATACAATGTAAATGGCCATTAGAAAATAATAGACGTCATCTGACGGACCGTTCTAATTACTACGCCCGACTGACCATAAAGCCGTTACGCTTAGTTTGTCGGATGAAAGCTTGGCGCTAATTGCCGGATGAGACGTCCCGTGTTTAACGCCGGGACACACATTACAAGAGACGTAGACACACGCCTATACAGTTTCAATGACAGTGCTGCACTTCTTTTTCTTCTTCTCCATTATCTTTTCCATTTTCTTCTTCTTCTTCTTCTTCTTCTTCTTATTATTATTATTATTATTATTATTATTGTTCTACTCGTGTTAATAGTACTGAAAATAATAGTCTTATCTCTCTTTATTTTCGGCTATATTATTAGTGTTTTCTATTTTCCCCTCCTTTTTTGGTATCATCGCTCTCAGTATTATTATTATTTAGCGCCTCGCTGTGAGGTAATGACTGACCAGCTAAATTCACAGATAATTACCGCTATAGTGGATTCGACTCTTACTCGGTGCCCCGCAATTAAATAACTTTAGTTGTTTATTATTATTATTATTTTATTTATTTTTAATTTTTTACTGTCTCACCCTGGGGTAGTGGTTAGTATGTCTAGCTTAGTTGATCAAAAGTCGAAGGTCAATTGTTACCTACCCTCGTTATCTTTACTCCTACATTCATTTACTCTTACGTTGATATCACACAGCTTATTCATCGATACTATTTTAAAAAACAATCCACTAGGTCTTTACTCTGTCTCCCCACTAAGACGAGTTGTGACACAAGGTCATTTTTTAAGGTGGGGGACCCAATCGGGTATACCTGGGCGAGGAACAAAAATTGCCCGCAGCTCTCGCAACCGTCGGTTGCGTTGACTTCGGTGCGAGCACCGATCCCTCTCTCTGGTGCAATGGGAGGGCGCGGCCTCGGGCAGCTGTTTCCCAGGGCTGGGCATCTCTCAGTAAAATTTTCCTCAGTTGCAACTCTGTCCTTTGACGGAGCCGTCACTGAGTGCACTTTGCCCAAAGACAGAGACACAACTGAGAGATGATAAATAATGTGTTACAAACTCCTCGAGAGTAGTTTACACACTAAAACAACAATCCACTATCTTGTACGGCTGTCGTGACTTGTATTGGGTGAACTTTAGTATTTAAAAAAAATCATTACTCCTGAGTCGTGGGTTCAATTACCACTGAGTACCTCCATACCCAATTCGACATTAAATAATGACATTCATTTTTACTATTATTGATGATGTTATTTACGTATCTGCAGGTTCAACAGCGGTCATCGTTGAGAACTGAGTGACAACAAGTCTGCTCAAATTCCAGCACCCTCCTCAGAAACCTCTCAGGTCCCAGCAATGCTGTCGTTGGTACAATCTCAACTCTCCATTGGACTTCCAAGCATTAACAACGACTATCTAAGCTTAACTCTACTACACTAGTTTAAAATAGCATTCAACATGCAATTTTACGTTACTCTTTGTTATAATCTGCTCGTCTAGTTATGTAACCATTATAGTAGTCGCTCCTTCAAAAAACAAACACACACACACACGCACGCACACACACAGGAACACATACACGAACACACACATATAGGTATGTGAAAAATTCAATGGTAGCCGACGCGTTTCGTCCAATGTGGACTTTTTCATGGCAAAAAAACAAAATGAATTTATTAAACAAAGTAACCAATAATAACAAAACAAAATGTCCTTAGCAACTGGAAGAATTTAGAGAATGCTGTTTTCATAAAAACAATATCTCCACACGTGACAGTACTTGACGTAATTTTCAGTTAACAGCATGAAAAGTTCTCTAACTTCTTCCAGCTGATCAGTTAATGAATGCCAAATGCTTCCTTATAAGGAAACAGTCAATATTACCATTAAAATTGAGAAGAGGAGAACAGATACTACTCTTTGATCGCAGCTTGATTTTGTTTTTTAACATTCCCCCCTCCCCAATCAAGGATATAATGCCACCTAGACGTCATGGCTTATTGAAAGTTAAAAAAAAAAAAAGAAAAAAAATGAGAAAATTTTAATGCG